CATCAGGTTTTATAGAGAGAAATTTTTACTGCAACCTAAAAACTTGAAAGGTAAAATAATCTGAAAGGTAAATTTGTCATTATGAAAATGATGGGGGTGTCAGATACAATTTGGGAGTGGTAGGAAGATTCCTCTTAGAGTTTAGTCTAATTCATCCTTAAAATATAGATTTGTAAGTAGAAGGGTGACACTATTTAAGTTTTTTTTCAAACACAATGTTTAATCAATGTGAGATTTGAGATCTTCTCAATAATATTTAAATTAACAATTTTTTTTCTTTTGACAATTATTGAATTTAATCTATCTATTCTATGAGTAATAAAATTATTCTGGACTGGGTCGACGCTTAGTCCACTGCCTAGCAGACCCAAAGCCCACTGGGGTTGGGCCCCATTTGAACCACGCTGACGGGAAGAAGACCCGCCGAGCACGACCTTCCTCCCCGCCGGGCATAGACCAACCACTGTCGGGCAGGACCCTCGCATCCGACCATCCAGCTTCTGTCTACCCGGGGAACTCCTCGGGTCTTCCCCCACGTCCTCCACGTGTCCCTCGCGCAGGGACACATCCTAAAGCAACTGCCCACCTCCTAGAGATTCAGTCTTCCTCCTCCTGGATAGTACGAAACAGTTACCCTAGGGCGAAGACCACGTGCTGGTCTTCACGATGCCACGTCAGCCCCAACAGTTACTTACATTGGGCCTGACAGCCCAGCCCAGTGCTAGGTAACCCTTGGCCCTACGCTGGAGGCTCACTATAAATACCCTCTTCACTAGAGGGTCAGGTAACTTAATTCTCTCACTCTCTCTCTGTACGTGCTTCCACTCTACTCGTCGCTTACTTTGGCATCGAAGTGTGTTTCAGGTACACCCCCCTCCTCTCCAACACTTTGGTGAACAGCTTCCAGATCGACAACGCGTGGCAGATCATCGATCCCCTTCTCGCCAGGTACGATCAATATATATATTGAGAATTAATAAGTTATATGAGAATGTGAGAATGAATAAGAACCATCAGATTTATAAAGAAAATATTAAGATTAAAAAATATTTTTAATGATTTCTCTTTACTCTTAATGACAAATAATGATTTAGTGAAAACTACGATTCAATCTCAATCTTTTTATTTTAAATATAATAATTCTTATTCATTCTCTTATTTTAAATACTATATATATATATATATATATATATATATATATATATATATATATATATATATATATATATATATATATATATATATATATATATATATATATATATATATATATATATATATATATATATATATATATATATATATATATATATATATATATATTTCAATTCTTTTGAAAATCCGATGTAAATTAATCATAATTTAATGTTAAAAAAAATAGAGGACTTATCTAATTATTGTTTAACCATTATAAACCTTTTATGCATCCTATATATTGATGATCTTTTACTGTGCTTCTTCTAAATATTATTTCTTAGCTCTAGCAATTAAAATATAGGTGATTTACTGTGTTTACTTTTTATTGAGATAAGATGAATTAATAAAAACTGTCAATTATTTGTTTAAGAACAAGAATAAAGAAAATTTATAATAAGGACACATAAGAGAGCAGTTATAAATATAATTTTTAACTTCCCCAATTAATAAAGAGTTTATAAATCCAACAAGATTTCACAATATTTAAAAAAATAATATACAAATTTCCCTGTTAGCGGATCACACCTATATGATAGATGATAGCTGACAGCGTGAGTCATCTCGCTATGAAGATTGCTTTTTGAAAAAAATTTATTTAATTAAAATATGTTCTCCTCTCATGAACCTATTTACAAAAACTAAATGGACAAGTGTCCTTCAAAGATCACAAACATGCTTATGAATAGTAAATTTTTGTCTTTTTATGCAATAAGACTACAATAATATACATTTATAAGAGATAGGTGTGTCGGACTTTTGAAAAAGGCATTCATATAATATTAAAAATGTCATGCTGGTAAATAGTGTTGATTTTGTCCTATATGCACCTCCTTGGCTATAAAAGGAGGGCTCTTGTACCATATTTTCATCAAGCATTCACAGATAAACTCTCTTGTGTGCTTAAGAACAAATAAACTCTCTTGTACCATATTTTCATCAAGCATTCACAAATAAACTCTCATGTTCTAAAAATCTCTTTTTTTCTAAAGCTTTAGTTATTGTATTCATATCATAATACCCCATAGATGCAAGTATGTTCTACACCTGCCTCTAAATGAGGATCTTGTGTATAAAACATCTGACTATTGATCCATACTACGGTCCTCGCAAACCCCCATTTTCAAACCAAACTTTTAATTTCCCACACCAAATCATCTATGTTACAATCTGCATCAGAGAAAATAATATTGTTCATTAGCTTCCAAATCGTCCAGATGACCCCTACCCAAAGATTCTCTCAAACAACTTCTTGATCTTCGCGTTATTTTCACTTAAAATCCAAGCGAAAAAGTTTTTCCAAACGAAATTAACCTTCTTCGTTCCAAAGCCAGCCCAAGCCTCAATCCTACTCCACAATTGGGCCACAACGGAGCAGTAAAAAAAGAGATGGATAATATCTTCATCTGCACGGTGACAGAAAACGCAAGACAAGTCCATGTTAGGATCAATTATGTTATGCCTAACTAACAGGTTTTTAGTAGGAATTCTGTCAAGACAGCACCTCTAAATAAAGGCTCTAATTCTAAACGGAACGCCAGTTTTTCAAACTTTCTGCGACACTCTAATCCTGTCGAAGTTAAAATCAGCTCCATCATCAGAAAGAGCCTCAAGAAGACCATTACCCGACATAATGGAGTAGCCCGCAGTAGGATCAGGATCCCATACCACCGAATCATTTCCCCATCAGCAACTAATCTAATTCTCTCCAGCAGGACCAACAAAGCATCCAAACAAAGCTGGTCGAAGACAAAACCTGCAGAAAGTGTCTCCAGAATTTCCCACTGCCATACCCCAAGAATCCACCTGTCCATTTCACCAACGACAACATGCTTCTTGGAACAGGCGTTAAACAGATCCGGAAAACAAACACAAAGGGGTCTGCCAGACACCCAACAACCAAATCAGAAAGGGGTGCTTTTGGCCATCGACAATGTCAAAGCTAACATGATCAGAAAAGGAATGGTTCAGACCAAACACACCAATCCCATATTCTATTAAGTCTTTCCACCAATGTGATCCTTTTCTCGACCTGCCACTACTGCTCCCTTCTAAAACCGCCTTGCAGATGTTACCGTATCTGGTGCGAAGAATATCTGACCAAGCTCCATCCTTCTCAGTCAAGATGCACCACTTCCACTTTTGAAGTAAAGACAAGTTAAATTCAAACATCTTTTTGAAACCTAGACCACCTTTGTCCATTGGCCTACAAACATTACTCCAAGCGACCCACACCACCTTGTTGATGCCTGCAGAGCCACCCCATAAGAAACGATTCTGGATTCTTTCAATTTCTTTCTAAATGGTAACGGGAGCTCTATAGAAAGACATGAAGAAAATAGCAAAGCTACTGAGACAGGACTTAATCAAAGAGATTCTACCACCAAAAGAAAGCATTTTACTCTTCCACGTTGTGAGGCAACTCTGAATTTTCCCAACCACCTGCTTCCACATCTTCAAACGCCTCGGGTTGGAACCAACGGGAAGGCTTAGAAAGACAAAATATTTAGCTTCCACACGACAAGACAGGAAGTTGGCCGAAGCTAGAAGAAAGTTTTGGTTCAGGTTCAGCCCAGTCACTATGCTCTTATTGAAGTTGACAGCCAAATCAGAAACAAGCTCAAAACCACGAAGAATAGCCTTTATTGCCAATAGATACTTCCAGCTGCCATCACCAATGATTAAAGTGTCGTCCGCAAATTGAAGCACATCAACAGAGTAGGACTCATTGAAGAAGAAACCCTTAAAGTCACCAATCACAGTAGCCTTCCGTACCAAAGACAATGGGTTAGCATTCTTAGGAACCAGAGTCAAAAAAGACGACGTAATAGATTTAGACAGCAGAGCGTGATCATGGGAACCAGAAACAAAACAGAAGATGTCATGTTTCATAAAGTGCCAACATTTTCTAATAAAGAAGAAGTTGTAACCATCCGGGCCTGGGCTTTTAGAGGGCTCACAATCCCAACCACAACTTTAATTTCCTGCTCCAAAAACCTAGCTTCAAGCAAGTGCACCTCCGAATCTGATAAAGAGTTAAAACTACAACCTTTAAGAATAGGTCTCGATCTATCAAGTTCCAGAAATTTATGGTGAAAGTGTCTCCTATACCTCCTCCTAGATATCTATAAGGCACAAGTACGAGTGCTAACATTCGTACTCAAGTAGGTATTGGGTACGAATTTGTTTTTCCTAATAAATATGAAGATGGATATTATAGTAATTTACTTAAATTTTGTCCATTGTCATCTCTAATAAAAATATGATTTTCAATCTCACACATTTTTAAGAATAAAATTTGAATCCATAAAACAAACACACTTTTATTGATATATTAATATATTTTTTTAAACTCAGTGCCCGATCTAGGTATTCTACGATGAAAAAAATTTTAATTTGTCAAAACTTCTTTATCTTTTCAATTTTTCAATTCATCATAATCCACAAATTTATTTTAGAGTTGCAAAAATAGTAAATAGTAAGAATACTTTATAATACATTAATTGTCACATAAGTTTTAAAAAGTTAATCACAAATTTATTTCAGAGTTGTATTTGAAAGAAACATGAGAATATAAAATATTAGAAAAAAGTGAGAATCTTTTTTAAAATTAATAGTCTTTAAAATAATTTAATACACATAATAAGCATTAAGTTTAAATAAAATAAAATAATAAAATATCTTTAAAATATCCAAAGTATTTATAACCTCATATCTTCAAATTAAATTAGAATAATCTATAAGTCAAAGCTATATATATCTTCCATCTCCACCTTGAAAGAATACTCTATACTATACTATAAAAGATGAATACTATTTTTTTCATTTTTGCTTTTCTCTCCGCATATACCTTTCATGCTATTTCTTCTGCCAATGATTTTTGTGTAGCAGATTTATCACTTCCCAAAACCCTAACAGGCTATTCATGCAAACCAGAAACAAATGTAACAGTTGATGATTTTGTGTTCTCTGGCTTGGTAGAGGGAAAGCCAGTAGCACCTTTTAACACTGGATTAACCGCCGCAACCGTTGCAAATTTACCAGGTCTTAATGGACTTGATATTGCTGCAGCAAGAGTAGACATGGGTGTAAATGGAACAGTACCAATGCACTATCATCCTGAATCAAGTGAGTTGCTTATAATTGTTGAAGGTGAAGTCACAGTTGGATTTATTACACCACAAAAAGCTTATGTGAAAACTCTTAAACCTAGTGATGTTATAATTCTTCCAAAAGGACAATTGCATTTTTTGATTAACTCTGGTAAAGAAAAAGCTGTTATTTTTGGAGCTTTAAGTAGCTCAAGCCCTACTGTGCATGTAGCTGATTTTCTTTTGTTTGGTAATGACTTATCAACTTCCATAATTGCACAAACTACTCTACTTGATGTGTCACAAATTGAGAAGCTTAAGGCTGTGTTTGGCGGCAGTGGATAGAACATAGACCTGCTTATGTTTGTTTGAGATTAAGTTATGTTAGCAATAAATTTATCTGTGTGATTTGTTTCACCTATATCGTGTAACATGTACCTTTGTCCTAAAAAAAGAAGTTTGACAATTGGAGATCAAGTTTCCCATAAACCTCTTAATTATGTTAACCAAGAGTTTGGACAAGATTCTATACAAACTTTCCACCAGAATTCATCAATGATTTTGTAATTTTTTTTAAATTCTTTTCATTGATTTCCATGGATGCAAAATTAAGTTTTTGAAAAATCATTTTAATTTTTTTACTCTATATAAATCTACTACTCTTATTTTAAATTTATTTTTCTCAGTTCTTTAAGATAGCTTATAAAATCAATTAAAAATTAATTTATCATTTATTATAAAACAATTTAATTTATAAAGAGTGATAAAGATCACTCTTGAGTATTCAAAGTTTTTGATCACCGTAAGAGATGGAAAGATCCTTCGTGAAGATACAACATTCTAATCTCTTCAAACTTCAAAGGATGCCAAAGATCCCTTTTCAGGATCTATCAATTTTTAATTGACTTAAGAGCAACAAGGATCCTCTTTGGGATCCAACATTTTGCTTGCTTATAAGGGTGGAAAAGACCCCTTATAGGAATTCAATGTTTTTTATCACCTTAAGGGAGGCTAAAATTATTCTTGGGGATCCAACATTTTGGTTGCCTCTCAAGGAGGTAAGGATCCTTCTTGGAAATCTAACATTTTTCAACCGCCTCAAGGGGCGGTAAGGATCCTATTAGGGATCCAACATTTTAATCGTCTCAAAGAGTGACAAGGATCCCTTTTGGGGTTCTAGCGTTTTTTATCACCTCAAAAGCGGCAAGGATCCCTCTTAGAGATCCAACATTTTGGTCGTCTCTAATGGCGCCAAGGATCTTGGAAATCTAGTGTGAGTGCTATCTCTAAATTCAACCGGGTTTTGAATGATGTCAAACATGATAGTATATCGTAGCGTTTTTATATATTGAACAATATCAACCTACATTTAAATGTTCATTTGTCATTTTAGCCTTAGGATGCATAAAAAGAGTCCTTGAACAAGTTTGATAGGTCTTAGGCATGTCATACACATCAAAAACCAAACTTTGTGTGCTAACATAATTGGACAGGTCGACCTATACGTGATCAGGTCGAGCTATAGAAGCTTTTGCTTCAGTACATGTCGGCACATCTAAATTTCAAGTCGGCTCCCACGCTCCAAGAATGAAGCATGTAGGCTCTACCCACAGTTCGTCTCACTGGCCGACCTGAGCGCCTTCATAGACCGACCTATTGCTTTCATAGGTTGACCTGTGCAACTTCAAACTTGAAAATTTCTATTTGCATCTTATTTTTCTTGCATCCTCTTTACCTATATTCACATACACATATATATATACTTATACATGCACCTTTTTCTAGTAAGGTTCTAGAGAGTAAAACCTAAACGAAACTAGATCACAAATTTTCCCATCATCTTCATCCCTTCTTCTGTACATACACACAATTGAACTACACATAATCATTTTTTGATTGAGTGACCATCTAGATTAGGGTTGATAACATCCAATTAGGCTTGGTGTAACCGAGAATATTTGGTTGGGAACTTTGTGTGGTTCAAATAAGAAAAATAAGGTGGGATTTTTCTTCAAGATCGGCATGATTTGAAGGTTTTAGACAAGATCACGTCAACATATATTTGACTGAGTGAAGGTATTGAGACAAGGTGGTTTCCTCGCAAAGGAGTAGCGCGAAACGGTGATTTGTGTTCAGGAATCTTGAGTTTCAACAAGTTGAGTGCTCAGGAAAATCGGTAGATTGGATCGCATTGTTGGTAACTTGATCAAGCTTTGATCAATGGTATGGAGGTGGAAGAATCAACAAAAAAAATAGGGTTTTGGGGTTTGTATTCTTCATCTCTTGTATAAACGATTTTGCAAAGAAAAAATTAATTGCAATTATCTCAATTCGATTTAAATTGTGGGCCGACGTACCCATAGCGAGGCCGATTGAGAAATTGCCTAAACAAATCTTGGTCTCTCTCTCTCTCTTTTATCTCGTTATCGCTTTAATTGTTGATTTCGCAATTTATCGAGTTCATCGTTATTTGATCAATTCGATTGGAAATTATTTTTCAATTATCTTTTAAAAGTGTTGTTGTTGATATAATCATAATCACTTTGATTGTGATTGACTTTTAACATCAACAAAACAAATTAAATTTCCAATTGCTATCGATTGCATACCAAGTGTTTGATAAATTGTTTGTGCGTATTTTTAATTGGTTTTTTGGTTCATTGGAAATACGAGATACATATAGCTTTTCATTTAATTGACCAGTAGCTTGATCGTTGTTGAACATTTACGTTCATTATCATTCTGTTTGGTTTGCGATACGCATGTAAATTTTCGATAGTAGGTTCGGTTAGATGATTCGATCCGGGTCGTTTTTCTGCTGCCATATTTTTGAAAACAGATTTTTGCCAAAGTTTTTTGTTGTAAAATTTGTGATCTATTCACCCCCTCTAGATTGAAGCCTATCGTCTAACATCTAGCACTTTTGATCGCCTCAAGGACGGAAAGAATCCCTCTTGGTGATCCAACATTTTTTAATGCCTCAAGAGCGCAAAGGATCCCTCTTAGGGATTCAACATTTAGGCTATCTATAAGGGCAATAAGGACCCCTCTTGGGGATCCAACATTTTTGATCGCCTCAGGGGTGGCAAAGATCCCTTACGGGGATCCAACATTTTGACCTCCTTAGAAGAAGGTCTTCAATAACCTTAGGTTATTTGTAAATAGAAAGAGGAAACAATAGTGCAATTACTTAAGAAACAATAGAGTGATGAGCCTCATTAAAAACCCTAGACCCTTTCGAGGAAGAAAGGGAAAAAATGTGTTCACAGAAAAACAACGTGTCCTTACAAGTGGTAGAGATATAATACTCTCCATATCAAAATTAGCAATAAATCAAATAAATAATGAAAAAGAAAATAAGCAAATTATAGTAAAGTAAATAAGCATCAATGGGTATTCTTGTTGAGGCTTCAATCTTCTATCTTGTCACCCTTCTAATGGGGAACCTCTTCATCTCAGAGAGCTTATTTTGGTAGCTTCATTGTTGAACCAACTTTCATGGTATTCACGGCCAAAGTTTGAACCCTTTTCAACTTAATACTCTCCGTAGTATTTCATAGTTCTATTGAATGACTCTAACCCACCCGTGAAAAGCGGGTATTTCATGCATAAATACAAAGTAGACAAGTTGACGCCCAACTGATTAAAAATCAGGCACCCTATAATCATGTTATAAGAAGAGGGGGCATCTATAACCAGGTTCCCTACCTTGATCTCATTGGCCTGTTCTCCCACTCCAAAGGTGGCTCTTAGTGTTATATAGCCTTTCACTTGTACCTGCTTCCCAGAAAATCTAACTAGTGATCCCTTGAAATCCTTTATGTCATCTAGATCAAGGCAGAGCCTCTAAAATGCATCCCAATAAATGATATCTGTAGAGCTCCCTTGGTCCATAAAAACTCTTCTGATCTCCCAATCATCACACCTAAAAGTGATGATATTGGGGTCGTCGCTGTGAGGGTGGATGTCTCGTACATATTTAAAAAAAAGGGAGATTCCGTTCTCTGGCGTCTTCTTTTCACCTTCCTCTAAATCCTTGGGGATATCCTCTTTATTCAATACCTTGCGGGCATACCTTTTTTGGGTAGAACTAGTCTCCTCGGCCCTATCAAATCCTCCTACAGTTGTATTTAGCATATGTTGTACAACCTTATCTCCTTCATATTAGGATGGATCCTTTCTTTTTCTTGATTTAGAGCTTCATGCATCATCCTTCCCTAAAGAGTTGGACCCACCCACCCTTTGGGAGGAATCACCCTTGACATACTTTTTGAGGCATCTCTCTTGGATCATCCGCTCGATCTTCTTCTTGAGTTGGTACCAGTATTCTATGTTGTTCCATTTGTCATTATGGAACTTAACCCATATTCTTGGCTGAGGTCCCATAATGTCTGCCTTTTAGGTTACAACCAATTGTTATCAAATCCCATTCGAATTATTACTACATATCGATTACCTAAGTTTAGCTAGACATGGATTTGGGAAAGATAAAATATAAATAAGAATAATAAATAATAATTTGCATTATAATAAAACTGAAGTCGATCAAAATGAAAACCTGTAAATATGCCAATTGGCCTTTGGGCAGATCCTCCACAGATGTTGGCAGGATTCTGGTCTTTAGTGCCAATTTGATCGTACAGTATAATAGAAATTACAGAAGAATGAAAATGGGAATACAGGAAAGGTAAAGAGAAACAAATGAGAATAAAACTGGAAAATAATGCTTTGGAAAGTAAATTCGGCAGCACTTCGTGGTATGAATGCAGCACCCTTTCTGAAGTCCCCTGCTTCCCTTTTTATAGAAGTGGAATCCCAACGGTTATCTCTGAAGATGATGGACCTTGAGGCAGATAATTTAGGGAGTAGTGGTCCACTCTGTGGGAATTGGAACTGTTTCTTTGACGTGTAATCTGAGTGGGGCGTTTTTGCCTGCATGACGGTCGTCACAAGGTGTGACGGTCGTCACCCGTGTGACGGTCGTCATGAAGCTGTGACGGTCGTCACATCAGCAAAAACAGCTTGTTGCGCTTTTCATTGTGTTTTCACTCCTTTTTCGTCCATATTTCATCTGGGATTGCTTCTTTTCTTCATGTTGCCTTGTTTAGACGTGATCGTTGAATACCTGCAAAACATCAGACAAATACACGGAAATAACCCGAAATCGGATCGAAAATGGTTAGACTTTAGTTGAATTATGCATGAAAATATCTATATGATTTCGTGTTATCAAACTCCCCTAAGCTTGAATCTTTGCTTGTCCTCAAGTAAAACATGGAAAAGTCGGCAAGCACGAGGCAGCTTCTTCGTTCGCAGAGTTTGGAAAAACCGGGATTCTTGGTAGG